TGGTGAGTATCCCCATATAGTTTCTTATTTAGAATACCTAAGGAAACCCAGGGCTGAATAACAGTGTGATGCACTGCAAGATCTCATTTCTGTCACTCTTTTGCTTCATCTCCAGTCTCCCTTTTGTGGTTTCTAGTCACATACTTCCTTTCAAATTGACCTTGAATTTAAGAGTCAACTCCAACACTACACTAGATTTACAAATATGATTAGGGTATGAGAACAAGATACATCAGAGAGACCCTCCCCAAGCAGGCCAAATTAATCATGCTACAGAACACATACCCATGAACATAATTCCCAATTTTGTGACATTCAATAAATTAATCAACCCAAGCCTATATGTATAGAGAAGACAGCTCCCTCTACTGGGCGAGACAATGCAGCTCCTCCTGTCCTCCCCACACTCCGAAGTACAGACTTGTGTATATTTAATTCTCCAAGATTTTCTTTCTTTTTTTTTTTTTTAAATCAAATCCACAAGATGGTATCGAGTTGTTTTGATTGCTCTGCAATTTCAAGAATTGGCCTACAGAAATCAAATTTCTGTAGTTTCTACATTGAAAAGAACCAAGAAGAAAAGTCTTCCCATAGGTGTGAGTAGGAGCCTGATTCTGTCCCTTGGTGAAACACTTAAAAACCCTTAATGTCAGTGTCTACTGTCAGACCAGGTCTGGGAACAGATGAAGTTCAGCAGTGTTATTCACAGCACACGTTGAACATCTGGCTTGCCTTACCACTACTCCATTGAACTTTTTCTAGTACATCCCTGCCTCAGGAGATTGCTCTTACCTTGTTTAAGGGAACAGCTGCAGCTTTCCACCTGCATGAGGCTCCATCAGAACAGCCGCTGCATGCAATCACTAGCATGCAGGAGAAAGAGTGAAGAATATCAGACCACAGATCATGGCACAAGTGAAAGGTAATGATCTGTATTTCAAGTGCCTACATCAGGAGACTCTAGGAAATCTACAATCTTTTCCCCTTCTCAGTCATCCCATCTGAAACACAAGGCTAGATGTAACACTTTGTTCATACAGCATTAGTGTTTTTCTATCTGTAGACCTCAGAACACTCACAAAAGTGGGCAAGAACTGTCTGCTCAGGATAACAACCCAGCCTGCAGCAATTCCTGCCAATGGCACTGCCAGGTCAATGGGCAAACCACAAATCTGTGACCTCTTGAATCAGAAAGTTCTTATCTTTGCTACAAGCTTCCACAGCAAACTTCTGCAAAAGAAAAGCACTCCGTGTCCAAGCTGTTTGTCTCTAAAAGCAGCAGTTACTGATGCCACTTCTTTGGAGGCAACAGTAAAAAATGCCACTGAGGACAACAAAGTGTGGTATCTGGAGACCTGTTCAAGCTCTTCATTTAGAAGATGTGGGGCTAAAACTCATGACCTTAGCACACCATGCTTAGAGCTAGCAGGCACTCACTGGTCATAAAACCAAGTGACTTCTTCAACACAACACGCTTCTTTTATTTTCACTTTGTGAGTTGAAGCAGCAGCAAAACTCTAGGTTTTTTCATTACCTTGACTTTCACCATCCGACAGTTTCTTTAACTGTCCTTGATCTTCCTACAAGTACGAGATAATATTTGTCCAAACTTTGACAGCATAAGTTTTTGGAGCTTTTTTGGGGTTGAGATGTTTAATGGCAGAAAAGAAGAGATGGATAAAAATCATCTAATACTTTTAAAAACAAAGAGTTCACATTCTTAAAGTAACATTTATACCATTTAAAATCTACATTTAAAATCACTTTACTAGCAAACTTGTTACTCTGTTAAAAACTATTTTGGATGAACAGCAACCATAACACATCCATACCTATGTACCCTGAAAACATACCCTTCTTACTATCAAATACTTTCTTTCAGACACATTTCCACCTGCCAAAAACACCAATAATTACCTCTTCTGATGAAAAAATAAACATCTCAGTTTATTTCAAAATTATTCACAAATGGAGTAAAGCACTGAGCTGAAAAGGCCTCCATTTGAAGCCTGTAAGCTTTAAGAAACAAACCTCTGCTAAAGCCAACAGACAACCACAGATGCTGTGGTAAAAATTAAAGAGCACTACAGATCCAACTTACAGACAGGCTCTTCACAGGCACCCTTAATTCACAAATTGCGATAGAATGACTACAGGCACAGAGAGATCCTGGAAACCTCCTCACCATCACTGATAAGGAAGGGCAAGAGCAATAACCTCCTCTTCTAACCCTTTCATTCTACAACAATTGCTTAGAGTTTGCATTCGAGTTGTAACTAGGGAAGAGGAAAGTAAAGCAGAAGAAAACACAGGACATTTTAACCACCCCCAGCTCTGACTGATAAGGACAAGAAACAGATAGTAGAACAGGCCATCTTTTAACAAGAGATTGCCAATTTAAGCGCAGCTCAGTCTAGACTAGTGAAGAGGATGCCTTCCATGCTCTACCTGCTCCATAGACTAACAGACTTTGGCCCTGCAGGCCTTTTAATTCACAAAATTTTATGAACATGGTTGCCATCCAGGAGCAGCTCAGGTCAACTGTGACAGATTCACGTGGCTTTCAGCTACCCTTCAGCAGCTGTACTGCCATGAGTGTCAACGCGTGGGAGATGTTTGTGTAGAGTGCTGATCAGAGCTACAGATATCCTTGGAAAAGGATGGCTACTCACTGTCCAACAAACCTTGCTCCTCTACATGCCTTGCGCTCACAAGCTCCCTTCAAGCTCCAACAAGGTAGGTTTAGATTAAACATTAGATTGAACAACGTAGGTTTAGATTGAACATTAGGTAGGAATTTTTCACTGAAAGAGTGGTCAGGCATTGGAATAGGCTGCCCAGGGAGGTGGTTGAGTCACCGTCCCTGGATGTGTTTAAGGGACTGAGGGATATGGTGTAGGGGAGGACTTTGTAAAGTAGGGTAGATGGTTGGACTTGATGATCCCAAGGGTCTCTTCCAACCTCAATGATTCTATGATTCCCTCTGTAAGAAACCCAAAGGTGTCTCAGTTCTTTTCTGATATGGAATTTCAGACAAACATGCAGACAACACAATCCACGGCAACATAAAGCAGCCATTCTCACTACAAACAAAAAAAAAAAACCAAAAACAAAACTGCTCACTTATTTAGCAGCTTGTTTCCATTCTGGGTATCTCACAGTTTGGAGACAGTATGAGCCCTTCTTAAACACAGACTGGAAAGCCCTATCCAAACTGGTATTCCATGCAAAAGCTCTCGAGAACAAAACGGCATCATCATGCACCATCTAGATGAAGCTATCATTGACTCTGAAGTTAAATAAGGAGAAGCAGAATACACATAAATTCTAGACAGGAATGTTTTTATTGAAGTAAGTGAAGGTAAACTGGCTATCTTATTACTTGCATTAATACTGACAGAAACCAGCTGCTGGGAATTGCTGGGAAAACAGCACTCAACCTTTCCTTCCATCAGCAAAACTGCAAAACACTCCGTGTGCCAGTGAACGATTTTGCATTGTGAAGGCAGCCAGTGCCTGTGCTGCAGACAAACCCTTGGTTGACCTCATCAGTTCCTGGAGCACAGACCCTGCTGTCAAAGCTGAATCCCAGCATTATTGTGCTCTGCATCTCCTCGAAAGCCAGTTCTTTGCTCTTGGAACTCACCGCCCACACAGGCCGGGAGGATTTACGTGCAGAGCCTTACAGGTCCCCTTGGGAGGACAGTATGCAGTCCCAACTACGTCTGTCCTCTGTATAGGTTCTCTGCTCTCTCCTTACTGGAGCAAACTCCAAAAGCACTGTTCCCCTTCAGCCTGACACCCACAACTGTAGCTGCCACAGATGATCATTGTTGTAGAGAGAACATGTAGTTTCTATACTCAGTGGTGAGCACAGAAAATCTGTGCTGGCACTGCTGTTTCGGTGCTCCAGGAGGGAGCAACTTCTACTCGGAGAGCTGTGCTGGATTACAGCAATGGCTGTTACTTGACTTAGTGAATTCTGTTCCCCTAGTACTAAATATCATTTTCATGGTTGTTCAAGTAAAAGGAGTTTCAAAGCTCTTGATCTTTGAAGGCAGGAAAGAGGGAAAATGATAGGCTGAACATTTGTTGGGTGTTTGCCCTTCTCCAAAGCAGACATCACTAACCCTAAATTAAAAGCTTCAGTAACTCTAAACAGTGAAATTTTACAGTTTCTCATGTATCTGAAAAAAAATATACCACACTCCAATGTTTCTGAGAACTCTCCTGACTTTTGCTCTTTTATTTTTTTCTAGAAAAGATCAGAGAATTCAAAAGGAAAAATTAAAAAAAAAGTAATTAAGAAGGTGGAAGCCTAACACCCAACACCTGCTCCCTGCTTTCCCCCCAAAACAATCCCAGATTAGACTAGCAAGAAAGGATCTCATCAGGTGCAGGTGTTCTTCCTTTCTTCCCTGGCATAGAAGACAAAGTATTTGGACTGTCCCTGTAGACAATGACACCCAAAAAAGATTCTTATTTCGTATGCATGAGACAAATATGCACCTCCACTGAGACCGAGACACACACTTGAAAAAGAATCTTGTTTACTCCCAGCCACAGACAAGTCTGTAATTAATTTCCTTTAACTTTTGTGAGACTGCTTTACACTGGGGAAACAAGGTTGTACAGTATAATGAACTGGCTAGGAAAAAATAAATGGTAACAACTCACTCCTTGCAACCAGGTTACACTGAAAAACTATCAGCTTCCAACAAGGACCGACTGCCTTATTCGCCCTTGAATTCAACTGTGATTAAGACCTCCATTTCTCTACTGCCTGTCACTCAAGCATTTTACCAACATTGCTATTTGCCTGTACAGACTATACAAGTCTGTATACATTACTTCTGTATTTTGGTCATACATTTACCACCTGCAGAAACAGAGTGCCCTCTAGCTCTGACTGAACTCAAGAGAATTCTCCTGTTTCCTAGAAGTCCAGCACTTACTTGATTATGAAGAGAACAAGAACATTCTGTTATGTGTACTCTTACCTGTCCGGGGGTCAAACAGCTGGTTGGCCTCCAAGTCTGTGAAAGTGCTGAAGCAAATGGGGCATTTAAAAGAGGCGCGATTGGTGGAGTCTCTTTCATCCGTCTCTATTCTTCTCCTCATGTGGTCCAGCTTGTACTTCACCACGTTCACCAGAAGGCGGTAGTTGATGAAGTAGTAGTTATGACGGGTGGTTTTGCCATCTGGAGCCGTCTCTACCCTCATCCTGCATTTGATGAACTTGTCACCCTTGAGGGTGTTTAGCACCGCTCGCAACTGCTTCCTATCAAACTTAAGGAGCTCCAACATGTCCTCTTCCTTCACGCAGGGGTTCCTGATGAGAATGTCCAGAGCCAAAGCATGTTCAATGCCATAAAAGCCACGCACCACATATTTGGCAAGGCGTTTGAGAGCTGCCGGGACCTCAGTGAGGACGTCTGGGTCAGTCATAGCAGATTCAAATCTTAAGCTTCATGTATACTGCAATGAAAAAAAAGGCAGATGGATTCTTAGCTAGCCTTCCGACTTCAGAAGTTTTGATTTATCTTACTTAGAACTAAGAAAAGGCTGGGTGCTCTCTATTTCTCTTTCCCAAGCCCTGTACTGTCTCCTTTGGTGTCAATAATGCCAACGCTACAGAAATAGAATTAGAAAATGTGTACCTCTCATTCAAAACAAAATGATGGAAAACGTCAAAAATCACACAAGAAATTGGTACCATAATTTCATTTCTACTCAGTCACAGCCAACAGAGCAGGAATAAGAAAGCTGTCTTGAAGCTGAGCTCCACTAGAGAGTTCCATGATCAGCTGAGACATAGCTTAGGAGAAGCAGAAAAAGACCACAGCAAGAAAGGTCCTAAGACAGCCCAACAGTGGAGTAGTCTTCTAGCCCCTGCTGATGTCACTTGATCACATTTTAAGTAGCCCTGCCTGCTTCTGCTCCTCAGACACCACTGGGCAGAGATATTATATGAGGATCGCTTCCTACTCCCAGCAGCACAATGAGAACAGATAGACTTTTTTCTTACTTTCTGATAAACAGACCTTACTCAACAGTCTTCAGCGTGGAAACTGTTAGCACTGCCAACTCCTACATCACTGACTGTGTCAGCCTTGATCTTCAATGAGCAAACAAGTCCTTCCAAAGGACTGATCCTTCATTTAAAGTGTCTCATGTCCAGACCTTAGGAGCACATGGGTAACACAGCATGACAAATGAAGTAAAAATCAAGACTTAGTGACCACAAAGAGACAATGTGCTTAAAAAGATAAACGTACACCATGAAGTACCCTTTGATTTACTTATAACAACTTAGCGTGCTCTCTCTAAAGAAATACTGTATTTTCACTTCATTTTCCTTCACCATAACATCAAATGGCACAAATGGACATTACAATCACATGCTTCTGTGACATACATGTGATCGTATATAGGATTATATCATGCAAGTAGTTCCTCATATTGTCACCCCTGCCACAGACATAGCCAAAAAGTAAACCTCAGCAGACAACTAAAAGCAGTGACTCTTCTGAAGCAGCCAGTTTTATCCAGTGGAAAGAAAAAGGGAAGCAATCCATAAGGCACAGAGCAAAGGTTTACTACCAGTTTGGAGGGTGATTTTGCACATTTTCCCTTCACTCTTTCAAGTCTATACAACTGTAAGCAATAACAAAATTCCCTTCCACTCATAATTTACTTGGAATTTCATGTATGAAAGATTCAAGATAAACATGAAGTATTATATGGGCTTTTGAAATATTCAGTGGGTTGTACTTTCAGTTAACTTCAAATAAAACGTCAAATAGTCTTTTTCAATACAAAACTTCCATGCTGGTTTGGATGTGAATAACCATTTCTTAAGCAAAAGGTTCCTTCAGCTGAAGAAAAACCCCACACCTGAAGTTTTGTTTGTTCACCATTGCTAAGCAATTTTTATCTGTGAACTCATATGATAAATAGTAAAACCCTGCCAATCTCAATTTTCACTTCCATTAGATGTTTCACACACTGTATAATGTACCTCCCCAGCATTCAAAGCTCAAACAAAGGGAAGAGAGTGACAGCAGAAGAAAGGATCTGGATGGGTATCCTGTTTTCCTCATTGCTATCATAAAACCTGTAATATCCTTTTTGACAAACACCATTACAGAACTTTTCTTTACTCCCCCCACTAAGGCATCCCACAAGAATCACCAAGCTGTACATGTGACCAAGCAGCTGATGACTCACTCGCATCAGCTAAGACTACTCAAAAATCTGTGCTCATTTGTCACAGTAGCCTGCTTGAATTTTTATTTTTTAATATTTTTTTTTTGGTATGAGAAACACTGCCCTCCCAAAAAACTTTAAGCAACATTACCCATTTGAAGCTTTACTTCTCTTCAACTCCTACCCTCTTCTGCAACTGGGGAGGTATGTTCCTCTCAAGGTTACAGCCAGTGCAACTGCAAAGCAATGAGGCTGTGGATTCTACAGCTTAACAGTAAGTAAATTAAGGTTGTCCTGTTTTTTCTGCCTTTCGAGTAGATATAAAACACTTTAATTCCTTTCTTTCAAAATGCTTCCCTGCCTGAGCTTTTCTTTTTCTCTTGACTTAGGGCTAAATTGAAATGAACTGAACATCTGTTGAGTGCTAGTGTGCAGGCTGACAATAGCTTACAGAAAACAATGCTGGGATGTCCAGCTCCAGCTTCCCTTCAAGGAAATTAAAATATGTTTATCATGGCATGAATTAGTCATGAAACAAGTACTTCTAGAGTCAGTTAGCTTTCTTTTGCGTGCCAGATACATATTGATTTACCTCACACAAAGGACAGTTTTATAGAGCTTTGCATTAAAGGTAAAAGCACTAGCAATAAAGGATGTCCTATTGTGAGTTAGGGATTCAAAAATACTGTATGGCTAAGTCAGACCCAATCTGAATACCATCACAGGACATTGTGCCTGAAAATCAATTTCATTCTGTTGGTATTTTTACAGTCTTTCAGTCACTTAAAGATAAATCTTGCTTTTGACTGAATCCGTCAGCAACATACTGATACCATAAACAATGTCAATGCAGAAGCTGGCCAGAAGCCTTTATTTATTCAAACTGATTAACTCTGATTATTCAGAGTTTAAGCACCGTACACCATTAATGTAAAGATCAATTTTAAATAAAACCTGGCACCCCAGAAGAGATTTAGAAGGTCAGATTTTGGAAGTCAAGAGGTTTTTAAGAGCCAATCTCAAATACAAACAAACAAAAAAAGCAAAGTTTCTCACTGTCCCCTAAACATTCCTTGCAGAAAATCTTGGCAACACATCTTGCAGTGTTGCCTCAGAACATCAGTTTAAGAAAAAAAAAAAAAAAGAGAGAGAAAAGTGGTTTTAAATAAACACATCTCACTCTGGATACTTCATCTGAGAGCTGATGGAAAGCATTTTGTCTGCAAGAACCTCATTAATAAGGCAGCCACCGATTTCCATAGCTGCTTTCGAAACAGGTTTAAGGTACAATTTCCTGAATAATGCACTCAAACAGCTTAAACTGAGACACCGAGACCTACAGGGGACCAATAAATAAAACCACCTCTAAGAGTTTTTAAACAATTATTTCTTTTCCTCTACTGGAGATTTTTGGTGACGTCCAGCTCTTCTGTGTCCTCAGGCAATAGTGGGCATCTTGAGTGTAACGCTGGGTTTACAGCTGGGTACATGGAAATACAAGCATTCCGAAAATACGACACACCTTTCTTTCCCATTAATCTCCACTTCAAAAGGTTGATTAATAACGATTAAATTTTAAATCCTGCAGAAGACAGCCTTTGGGTGAGACAGCCAATTGACTAGTGTCAGACTTAAAAAAAAAAAAAAGCCTCCAAAACACACCCTCATCAAGCTTTTTTACATGAAGGTCAACAATGCTGGACACAACTAACTTAGCTCTGAAAATAAGCACCAAGACGTGTTCAGCACACACTAGTTTTTATACTACAGTGAGGCCTAACGCCAACAAGGGCTTGAACAAGATCTGTATGGTCAGATGAAGGACATATTTTGTAACATCATTCTTGATAATCACGTTTTCATGTAACTTAGGTGATAACAAACAATGGCACAAGAGAGAGCACATACCACTGCCAGAACCGACCAGGCCAAGGTCTAACAAATTGTTTCTCCAGGAGAAGTTGATACCTGGCCAACCTGCCACAAAGGATCAAAGGCATATGAGCTCCAAAACCTTACCACCTATCACCAGGCAAGACAGACAGTGAACTAACTCACGAGTGGTAATCCACTGCCACAAGAATAGCAGCCTAAAATTCAAAAGCAGGGGACTTTACCACTGCACCCTTGAGCAGCGATTTCACCTTCCATTGAAGCAGTAAGTCAAGCCTGAATTAATTACCTGTGCAAAGAAATATGATAACATCTCCTAACAAGGTTTTAATGGACGTGCATCTGTTTCATAATAATGTCTGTACTGACCTTAATAATGTATGAACATCAAGGGACATTATCAGGGAAAAAACAAAAGAAAAACAATGGCCAAGATAAATCACTATGCAGTAAGCACCTACAGCACCAACAATACAGCACACTGGACAGGATGATATTCAGAAATACCCAAATGAAAAATTTCAAAATTTAAACATGGGCTTCGTTAAAAGACACAGCTGTTGGGGAAGGGTTCTGGGTAATTACATTAATACAATTCAGTATTATGGGTACAGCAGGAAAGTAGATGTATGTTATCACAATAGGACAGCAACTCTAAATACACGTTTAGTTCCTCAAAACAATTCCTCTAAATGTAAGAATACTGGCATGGCTAAAAAAAGACAACATTGGGAAGACAGACCAAAAGTTCCACAATGCAACCATATTTGTTGGGTTAAGAAAATCCAGGTACAGTCTGCAAAATTGAGATCATACCTCAGGTTGAATAAAATGCATGACGCATAGGTACTGAGCATAACTTGGATGTCAGAAAGGAAACCAAGGGGAGAACAAGCGACAGCAAAAAAACATTCAATATAATGGGACCGAAGACCACGTAGAAGCCAGAAATTCAATGGAGCAAACACCTCCTCTGGTCAGGACTTTCCTGATGCAGCATTGAAGTAACTGAACTCTTCTTCTATGTACAAAGATTTCAAGAATTCTTTTGTGAACTCCAACAGGAATTGTGCTAAGGATGTTGGACTGTTCTTCCTGCTTTGCCTGACTAAAGCTAAGGCAAAAGATGACAAGTGCTAAAAAGGTGACACCTAGAAGTCCCAACGTAGATGAAATTAGAACTACAAGCTATGAAATCATGAGTCAGCCAGTAAATTAAACTGAATTTTTATCCAATACTGGAAATGATCATCAGCTTGTTTTAACATGTAACTTTGAGGCTTATATTGATTCCACTAGTAACTTTACCTCAATAAAATTAAGTCTCATTGTTTGTATATTTGACAAGGTAAACATTTTAGAAGCAGGATCTTGAAAAGTAAGAATACTACTCTTCAGACTCATTTGGGTATATGACACCCAAACCTCTTTTGGAGGAAACTTGGGTCTATCAGACATACTGTTCACACTTGGAAAGATGCTTCGTATTTTTTCCCCACACCTAATTTAAATTGTTAGTGCTCTTTTCAACTAAATCTTTTGAGACCACATTTTTCTTATTTGGTTGGAAAACATTTCTGCAGGCTTCTGCCAAAATCTCTCTTAAAAAGGCAAAAAACATTACTTGCTTACACCATGGACAGAGTTTCTTCAGGAAAAACCAAATCAGATTATAAGAGAGTCCCTCACCTGTAAAGTGGCAAAGTATGACAGGCTTTTGGGAGCCAGCATATACCATACCCCACTCCAGCAGTCACTTGCAACACGAGATCCTAGTTTTGTAGTCTCTCACTCTAATAAAATTTAAAATTCTGTCCTCCAGTAGACGATGAGGTTAAGCTGAGAGGAGTGATTCTGAATCTTCCTGAGTACAGGGAAGGAAGGCACAAATTTCAGGACTACAGCAGAAAGACAGACCGTCAAGATTTTAAATGTCTGTACAATGTAATCTCAGCCACTATTTGTCCTTTCTGAAAAAGGGCACAGAGTCTTCCATTTTGAAGTCTGGGTGGTTTTTTTGCCTTTCTCTGTAGTGAGTGGATCATCTGTGCAACATGTCCCTATTATCCAGAACTGCCTTTATTCCACATCAGTTGCAAACCCACAGTCTTCTGGCATTTTATCAAAAGCTTACCGAGTTCCATTCCCTGGAGACTTCAGGAATACTGCTGCTCAGCCTTCCTCCTGCACTACATCTTGATGAGAAATCACGTACTTTCATTGCAAGACCTGCTCTGAAGTATTAAGACAGAAAAGAACAATCTGCTTTCACTCAAAGTCTACCTTCTTTCTGGCATTCCATAAACTGAAACCAGGAGGCCACATGTATCAAACAGGTTTCTTTTCCTAAGGTGAAAAGTTGTGCTACAGCTGCACACAGAAAGGCTGAAGGGTCTGGCCAAAATTAGGACATATTCACCTGATTTCACAAGCAAAAATATATGGAACCACACATGATATGGCCACAAGGCCTGACCATACAAGACAAAAATTGAACAATGCAGGCTCAGGATGTAATTCCCAATCAAATTTTCACATAACAGCAAGACGTCAATAAGCTATCTGCATGTATACAAACAGATGTAATACTCAGAAGTACTTCAATATACATTAGCAAACTCTTTAAAGTTGTAGCTGTAGAAAAAAATGGAGCGCCCTATTTACTGAAGGCTAATCTTGACAGCTAGAATAGCAAAGGTACAAAATTTCTTGTTACAGCTCAAGTCAAATTATACACTCCCACAAAGAAGTCCTTCCTTTCCCAGCCTTTGGCCACAACCCCTACCCATTCTGCATTAATTTTGCCAGTTGCTTATTCACATATCAAGGTGAATCAAGCTGAAGAAAATTGAAGGATTAACAGGCCAAAAAATTAGGGTATTTTAGAGGGAGGGCATGAAAGAAAAGTTCAACAAGCAAATCATTTATGTTACCAGACTAGAGCCTACATGAAGCAGAGAAAATGAAGAATGGCTATGGATGTAGAAGACTGAGCCGTCCCTGTGTGGTTGCAAAAATGTTAAATTAGCTCAAAAGTAACGTGAAGCCACTAGAAAATTTTAACTATGGACATTGTAAGAGATGTAAATCTCTTACAAGTTACACTCCAGTGTGAATGTATACCAGCAGAAGAATGTCTGTTATTTGGGAGACATCTCAGTATCGGCTCTCGCGTAACAAAGCTGCAAGATTTCAGGTTTGCTTTTTTTAAAGGAAGAAAGTAACAGCATTTCTCACAAATATCAAGCCTAAGAAGTCATGATTACACTGAAATACAGTGGGCTTAACCCTGACATTCCCTGTTAAGTTTCTGACAGGAAAAAAGTAGTCATTTTTTTTCATATCCTGGATTCAGTGAGACCTGGAAAACGACACTCCTCATCAGAACAGATAATATGAGTGATTATCTGACTCTCAGGAATTCAGGAAAGAAGTAACACAAAGATTTATGAAAGTATTAGGTTCAGAAAAGTTTTAGTTAATCGGGGTGTAGCAAACAAGTGCATGTACTGTGGATGTAAGCAATAAAGAAACAGAGAAACTAAATAACAAGATACTAGATTAGCTTTAATTCACGTAGTTTCTTGTTTAGAAGAATTCCCTAAAGCATCCTGTGTGAAAGTGAGCTGTAAATAGTATCTTAAAGGAAGTGGAAGGTAAGAATGAAACACCCATCAGTCCTTACTGTTACAAAAAGGCTATTTGCTCCTCTCTCAAGCACATGGCCCTGCCCTCTCCCGTGCCAGCTCTGCCACCCACAAGACCTGCCTGTGCACCAATTTGCATCACCAGAAGACAGAAAAATACCTTTTTTTTTCCTTTCTTCTCCTGCACAGCAGATGAGAGAAGAAACTACCTTTCATAGCTGCAAAATACTAAACCACCTATATTTTATGAAAATGTACCTTTACTGTGCACTGCTGAACACCCTTTTCAGAATGCTGATCTCCCTTATCCATTCTGAGTCACTTGTTTCCCAGTTGGACCTATTTAACAGCTCAGTGCCATTATGAGATGTGATGTTCATCTGCTTCTCAGGGAACCAGCCAGCATGTGAAGCCAGAAGAAAACTAACACAATAAAGGAAAATATCTTGCTGACCTGGACAACTGAATGGTTTCACAGTATGAGCTCAACCAATGGTCAAATCTATCAAAAAGAAATAAGTGAGATTTGTAATAGCGTCAGTTACTCCTCCAATTCCCATAATCTTACTGCTTCCTTCAAATTAGAAATGGCAAAGAATTCCTAGACTATAGTAGCAGCCTACACTTTAAAGCTCAGAGAACCCCTTATGCTATTTGCACGCCTTCCTGTTCCCTACCCACTTCCATGCAGTGAGTTTTAAACATCCAGTTGTAGAGGCTCCTGCAGGACTAGAGATTTGAGGGGCTCAGCAGTACCTCCTAAAAAAAAAACCAAAACCGAGAAAATCCCCACAAACAACGCAAGAGGAGAGGCAGGTGGTGGGGTATGGAGCCGGGACAGGACCCAGCCAGACAACGTGCGGGGAGGCACAGGCTCCGGCGGGCGGTGCCGGCGTGCCCAGCCCCTCAGCAGCACACATCCACACACACACCCCGACTGCAGGGGGCACGGAGCGCCGGGCCTGGGGCCTCCGTGGGCCGCAGGTACCCGCCGCCCACCGCGGCGGGGTCCCCGGTAGGCGGAGGGTGGGACCCGGCCCAGGACAGCACGGGGGGAGCCCAGAGGGGCCCCCTCCGGCGCCTGAGGGCGGGCAGGGGCCGGGCTGCCGCCCCCAGAGCCGGCACTGACCTGCCGCCGCTTCCAGCTCTCCCCGCTCCGGGCGGCGCTTCCGGCGGCTCCGCGAGGTCGCGTCACAGCCGCGCGCGCCTATGGCGTCAGCAGGGCGCCTCGCCTTCAACGGCGCTCGGCCCAACCGCGCATACGCGGCGCTGCCGCCCGCAGTCACCCGGTTCGCTGAGCGACAGGAAAATAAGCCAATTGCGTCTCACAGAGCTCCCCCCTCCTCCCCCGGCGTTCCCGCCCTCGCATGAGTTAAACCAATCAAGAGTGAAAGCGGCCCTGGCCGCTCGCGGAGCCAGCCAATGGGTGGAATGAAGGGAAAGGAGCGTGCGTCGCGATTGGCGGCGCCGGGAGAGGGCGGTGGTCTGCGGGGTTGTTGCTAGGTAGAGTAAGATGGCGGCTTTGGACAGGGTCAAGGTGTTGGTGTTGGGCGACTCCGGTGAGTCTCCCTCCCCTTCGCTCTCCCCCGCTCCTCAGAGGTGCCGGGAGGCGCATGCGCGGCCCTCCGCTCCCTCCCCCGGCCCCGCCGGGAGACCCCGCTCCCTGCCCTGCGCCCCCGCGGCCCTGCCCGCTGCCTACCCTGGGGCAAGCAGTGCCGGTGCCCCCTCTGGTCTTCCAGGATCCCTGCCTGCCCGCCTTGCACCGGCCCTTGGGCGCTGACCCTTGGCCCTTGGGCGCTGGCCCCTGGCTGTTGGGCACTGACCCCTGGCCCTTGGGCACCGACCCTTGGCCCTTGGGCACTGGCCACTGGCCCTTGGCCACTGGCCCCTGACTGTTGGGCACCGACCCTTGGCCCTTGGGCACTGGCCCCTGGCCCTTGGGCACTGACCCTTGGCCCTTAGGCACCAGCTCTTGGCCCTTGGGCACCGACCCATGGCCATTAGTCACTGACCCTTGACCGTTGGGCACCTATTGTTGGCTGTTGGGCACCAATCCTTGGCCATTGGGTGCTGACCCTTGACCCTTGGGCACTGGCCCTTGGCCCTTGGGCACGGACCCTTGGCCGTTGGGCACTGGCCCTTGACCATTGGGCATCACTCCTTGGCCCTTGGGCACGGACCCTTGGCCGTTGGGCACTGGCCCTTGACCATTGGGCATCACTCCTTGGCCCTTGGGCACTGACCCTTGGCCCTTGGGCACTGATCCTTGGCCCTTGGGCACTGGCCCCTGACCGTTGGGCACTGGCCCTTGACCATTGGGCATCAATCCTTGGCCCTTGGGCACGAATCCTTGGCCATTGGGCGCTGACCCTTGACCCTTGGGCACTGACCCTTGACCCTTGGGCACTGATCCTTGGCCGTTGGGCACAGGCCCCTGACCGTTGGGCACTGGCCCTTGACCATCGGGCATCAATCCTTGGCCCTTGGGCGCTGACCCTTGACCCTTGGGCACTGACCCTTGGCCATTGGGTATGGCCCCTGACCGTTGGGCACTGGCCCTTGACCATTGGGCATCAATCCTTGGCCCTTGGGCGCTGACCCTTGACCCTTGGGCACTGGCCCTTGGCCGTTGGGCACTGATCCTTGGCCGTTACTTGCCACCACTGGCAGAAGGGCGGCGGCAGGACTGTGGTATTTGGTCGGTGCTGCTGCCCCCTCACCTCATGGCCCTGTGACCTGCCCTTGCGTGGTCTCCCAGGAGCCGTCCTTTTGTGTGTGCTTGCAGGTGTCGGAAAATCTTCGCTTGTTCACCTCTTGTGCCAAAACCAGGTGCTGGGGAACCCGTCCTGGACAGTGGGCTGCTCGGTGGATGTTCGAGTAGGTGACGTGCCTGACCTCTTGGTAGCCCTAGCTTACAGTGGAAAGGAAGGGCCTTGACTTGTTATTTTTTCTTCTTCTTTTCATAACTTTCTGCCCCAGAAAGAGATGTGTTTCATTGTTTTCTTTTGCTGAGCATATCATCTTTCTAAAGAAATAGTATGAAATATGAGCCAAGGACTTGTGTTGAGGAAGTTTTGACCTTACAAGCTTTGAACATAAAAGCAATCAAGATACTTGTCATTCATAGCACCTCTCCTCACTGCGGTGGCCACTGGCATGTTACAAGTCACAGACTGGAGAGTTTAAGCACAGCACTTAAGCCATGCTTCCCTGAGAAACACTTAATGCACAACTAAATTGTCAGCCAAAAACAATTTGCTTGTTTAATTTGAGGGTGCCTACCATGACCATCGGGTTGCTGCACTTCCTCTCTGCTTATTGCAGGACCTGCTGTTAGAGGAGTGAGGATATTCATCTAATAGGTGTTCGGCCCAACCGACAGCCCTCATGGATTGGTGATAAAGGCTGTCTTCCTTCATTGCCCTTTGCTGCATTCTCCTTGATGTGTATTGGCATAGGTTAGGAATGATCCTGTCTTACTGTCTGTGAGTTTCACCCCAAAGAATGCCGAAATATATTTCCAAAATTTGGGGAAAGAAACATGGTGGTAATCCTGGTTAACTGTGGAGCAAAGCTACCTAGGAGATCCTGGGGCAAAAATTGTTAATTGATTAATTCAGTTGAGATGTCATTGAGAATTTGGCATGGAGAGGAAAAAGATGTGGTCCGTTGGAATCTGATGTGGTCATCTGTGTTAATATTCTTGCAGTACTACATGTAGTTCTAGTAACTGTAAGAAGTCATGACCATGCATGCAACATGCTATTTCTGAGCACATCATGAATCATTAGTTTGTTTATATTGAGATGGAAAGGATACTCTCTGCTGACTTGCCAAGCTCCATCTCATGTACGAGCTGTGGTATCTGGTGGTCACCACTTGACTCATTCCACCTCTCTTCTACTTGACAGATTTGAAATAGTATCAACGTGAGAATTTACAATTTTCTATCCAAGTATGATAATCCTTTCAGATGAATGTGCAAGTGTTGTGTGGATTAACCCCCGTGAGCTGGCACTGACTTGACTTGTGAATTTTTCATCAGATCCATGACTACAAAGAAGGGACTCCAGAAGAGAAGACCTACTACATTGAGCTGTGGGATGTTGGAGGTTCAGTGGGTAGTGCTACCAGTGTGAAAAGCACAAGAGCAGTCTTTTATAACTTGCTGAATGGTAAGTTTGCTTGGTGTAAATCCGGTTTTGTCACACTGGACCATGAGCTGTCTCTTGGTTTTGGGGCAGGATTCCTTTAAGTCTGCCTGAGGGCTACAGTGTTCTCTTTTCTGATTCCAATACACTTATACAAGAAAAAACCTGATACCATTCGTAGGCAGAATTTTATGGATTCAGTTTTCAACAGGAAAGCCGTTTTAGACAAACCTGTGCAGATGTGCTTTATCTGCCTTTCACTTCAGTCTTGTGCAGCTGGTGCAACAGGGAGTCTTTGAAGTTGCACTGATGTCCCTTCCAGCTACACTTGAAGACATAAAGGTTACCTTCATCTTTCTGAGCCTGATATACATGCAGAAGTATGATTTATATTTTCTTGTCAGTTCAGTTCCAAAACCTACAGCAGGGAAATCATTATCTGAATTTATATGAACTTTGATAGTTATATCCTACCCTGGCAAATTTGAACTCTTCTCCCATAAAATTGCAATATGCTGATAGCCATCTTGCCCATTTAATTTGCCAAATTATTTTTAATAATTGAATTTTGCAACTTGCTGTAGATAGAAAGTAATATTTTATTCCTTCTGTTGAGATACTGACTTAAAGGCCTTAGTAGTTCGTCTTTACCACTAATAAGAGCAAAGAAGAGATTATAAACATAATAATGCAGTATTTCAATTGTTACATTTTGGCATCCAAGGATATTTTACTAAAAATAGTTGTATACCAGATTAACAACTGCTTCTGAAAATCTGTCTCAAATGTTCTGTTTGATTCTCTTTTCTTGCTCCCAGTCATTTGAGGGCCTTTCAGTAATGTGTTAAGCCCTACAATAAACATTTCTGCTCTGTGATTATTTAACTAACTATTTCTTCATCCTTTCCCAGGAGGAAAATAATGTGTAGGTACCTCTTGCTTCTATTGCTAGCCAGACCTCTGTAAATAAGATCTGAGTTGAGATGTGCCCCAAAGCATATTTGGTATGTGAAAGAAATTTATTTCTTCTGATAGCAAATCCACAGTATGCAAGTGAGTGTGGGTCGGACTTGGAAATACCCTAAAACAGCCCATTAGGAGATGAAATCTTGAACTTATGTGTCTGAATTATAATTGATTAAGTTATTAAAATAGAGTTATTTATCTCCACTGTCCAAAAGATACTATTATGCAGCTTGCATATGATAACTGTTGACTTTGGTAGTTAGCCTTGGCTCTGGTTTCTTTCATTAGATTAATTCCTTCATTAGAGCTTGTCTCACAAATTGCCTCTGTTTGACCTGATTTAAGAAAAGATGATGAATGCATTTCTTCTGCCTCACTGCTTGTGCTTTCTGGGCTTGCAGTGGTCTGAGAACTCTGAGATGAGAAGACAGTTAATGTTTGGTCAGGGCAGCATCGGTGCAGGCTGTCACCGAGACCTGGTTGTTGACCAGGTTAGTTATGGTTTGCTCTTGGTTCAGCTGCAGATCTTCAGCTTTGGTGTCTCTGCATCTGGTGTGTGAGCTGTGATAGTCTTGGACAGTCACTAGGCAGTAAGGCTGTGGCTTGCAGACCCTGATGGGGGAGGAACATTTCCTTGAGTAACCATTGGTCCTGCCTGCCCTTTTTTGATGTTGATATAGTGTTTTTCTGCTGGTGCAACTAACTATGTAGGTTTTTGGTGAAGCAGATAAGGGAACCAACCAATCAAAGGCATAACTGGGGAAGAGTGTCTGGAGGTGGAGAGTGTTTCTCTCAGATTATGGAGCAGTGCCTCTGAAATCTGTTGCTGTAGGCCAAGTTATATTGTATCAGGCTTTCTCTCTGTAAGCTGGGGGTGGACATGCAGTTGAGTTACCTTTTTGTGTTGTTCCTCAGATAAATGCTTTGAAACAGGGCTATGGTTGTGTTATGCTGGGAACTCTCCTAGGAGAGTCTCTGCACAGTTGTGTAGGGTAGTGAAGAATATTTGTGGAAATGTGATTTGTTCATAGTCTGTACAGTGGGTGGCACCTTTGGGAGTTAAGGTGAAAGATTAAATGAGTCAGTTTTTCCACCTGTGGACTGTGAAGTGTGTTGAAAATGAATCCTGAAAATATGGGGTGTAATTCCATTTTGTCCTTGACTTAATGATGCTTTGAAGTCTGGAGGAAGTGGGAACATTCCACAGGTCACAGAAGGTGTGAATAAATAGAAGAAATTTGCTAGCAAGAGTTGGTAATTGAGTTAGGAACTGTGGTTATCAGAAGTGGGTGTCTGTTAGTAGCACAGCTAGAAAGTTTGGCTGGCTGGTTTTTTATCTCAGAATTTATGTTTTGAAGGATTGTGGTAATGAAAAATGCTAGAAGCTTAATCTTAAATACCTGAAATCTTAATAATTCATGTTTCTGCCAGCCATCTGGTGGACTGTGGAAGTTCATCAGAGCTTGTTTCCCCTTGGGATACCTCCCCAAGTAGCATTAGTTCTTGAAAATGAAGGAGAGCAATAGTGCTCTCTAAAATTTGAAACAAAGAAACAGTCTTTAGAATTCTTAGATGGTGTGACCAAAAGATAGCTATATTTACCAATTGGGCAAAATAGGGAAAAGCTTAATTCTCAGTAATATAGAGTTTCAGTATCAATAGGACTAGACAGCAGAATCAGGGAATGCCTGCAAGCCTCTTCTGGATTAAACGCTGAGGTGGCTGTTCGTTTCCTCCTTTCATGAGATTTTTCTTTTAGCTCTTATCCAATTCCTGATAAGCAGCTTTAAAAAAACTGTTGCGTCCTGGTGTGTTCAGCTTTACGCATTCACTGTAACTGAACTGGTTATACTTCCCTTTCTTCATTCTCAGATATCTGGGAACCTGCAGATGTCATTTTGGTAAGATAAGGAAAAAAAAAATCATTAAATAGCATCTTGCTGCCTTCTCTTTTACTTTAGGGATAATTTTAGTACATGACTTAACCAACAAGAAATCATCCCAGAATTTGTATCGCTGGTCTTTGGAAGCACTCAACAGAGATATCGCTCCAACAGGAGTTCTTGTCACAAATGGGTGAGTGAAAAACTTACGTGCAGGGTTAAGACACAGTAATTCCAACCTGTTATGGAAGTCTTTGTTCATCCCTAAGACTACTTGAAGTCCACACAAAATTAGATGTGGCTAGGCTTTTAGGAAAAAGAGAAAAAAATGGGAGGTATCAAAGAAAATTGCTGTTCTTTTTGTTTTACACTGCCAATCAAGTCATTCTGCCAGTAGATTCCTAAACTGTATGGCAGAGACCTTGCTTTAAGGGAAAATATGTTTACTGGGTCCTTATTTTATCTGAGGCCTCTGTGAGAGTGAGCTGAAGACTTATGTGTTTACTGAGACATGCAAAGCCTCAGGAGGTGTCATGAGATATGGGATAGCCAGTCTGTATTCCAAAAGGCTTTCCCTCCATGCACCAAAACTGTGGAAGTTCCCTTTATTTTTTTGTTTTGGACAGTGGGGAAATTATTTCGGGAGTGTGACTAAAAAAGAGCTTAGAAAACTCTGCTTAAACAGTGTGTTCATAATCAGCTTTCCAACATCTTGTCAAGTATTTCCTCCTGTGCCTCTGTGCTCCTGTTATACATGTAGTTACGGAAGTTTAAGACCATTGATCAACCTCACACATGAGCAGGGAAGCAATAATAAGGGGTAGCTTTTTGTGGGAAGAATATCAATTGGTTTTCTGCCTGTGCTGGGGTTTGCAGTATATAAACTGCAGATCTCTCCAGCTTTTCCACGTGCAGGTTTTTGACAATCATTTTAATTTTCAAAAGCTTAAAATCTGTCAGGGACAGATTCTCAGCCACTAGCAATTGCTTGGTCAAGTTGCTGCTGTTGGCTGTAAAATTACTTTCTGCAAAGCTTGGTTTAGATAAAAATGACAGACAAGTGGTTATCTTAGCTGAGGAGAATTATTTGAGCTTGGATTTGTATTAACATTTAATTGCAATATTATTTATTTTATAAAGGCTATCTTTGATCATTACCCATATCTGAATCCAAGCTTGATGGAATTCAGCTTGTGGTGGCTACCTTTACTTCAATATAGAAGAATTAGTAACCTTACACCACACAATTGTTATTGCAACCCTCTTTGATTTAAGGTGGAAAGAGATAAGTGTTTCACAGTTAAAATGTATGATTTAAAAAGTGTATGTATGTAGGAACTTTAGATGTTCAGAGATGCCAGCTCCCTGATCTGTCTCTGGTGGCTGCATACGCCTGGTCCAATACTGGAATTCCTGTTTCTTTCCTAATTGTGTTAGCATTTCTTCTGCCATTCATCTGTGCAGAAAAGAAATCCAACTTGTGGTTTCTTTTCTCTTTCCTTTCAATTCCTCTGTAGTGACTTAGATGCAGAAGCCCTTCCTTAATTCACAGATACAGCACATTCTCAATTAGATAAATAATGACCGTTAATAAATAAATGACCATTATTTGAAAGGGACAGGGGAGCTGATGGCAGCCCTGTGCCCACTTACGTGACCAGCGCTTCATTCAGGATTGTATTTGTTTCCCTCATCAGTGACTATGACCGTGAACAGTTTGCTGATAACCAGATTCCGTTGCTGGTAATAGGAACTAAGCTGGATCAGATCCCAGAAACTAAGCGGAATGAAGTTTTGACCAGAACAGCTTTCTTGGCTGAGGATTTCAATGCTGAAGAGATAAATTTGGTTAGTATCCTTGTCACCAGTGTTGTTTTTCTTTTATATGGGAGTGAGTCTGATTTTTAGTAAGTAAAGATGTTGTTACAAAAATTGGGGTTTTGGAGATTTTCTCATTAAGTGAGACACTCAGATTCACATTTTGATTGGCTGCCCAGCTTGCTTGATGAAACGATCATCTTTGTTTCACTATAGGGAGTATAGTAGATGTGAGCTAAGATCACCAAAGCTTAGAATTGGTGGATGGGAATTGCATTTTCTCTTCCCTGTTCTTAGTTCTGACACAGACTATCTTTGAATGAAACATCAAGGTCACTTTACTGATATACATGTACGTGTAATGTGTATATAGATATATACATGTATAAAAATATACATGTGCTGTGTGAATGCTTGTATATACACACGCACACAACCTCACGTGTACAAAGTATGAGCTGACTGTATAGCTGGTAGCAGAAGGAAGACATGGAGTATATAGTGGCCTACTTAGAATTCTCCAGTTGATTCACAGAACAGAAGTTGACCTTTTCTCTCAAATGACTGTGGAGCAGAAATCAGCAGATATACAGTGGTTCCCCGGCTGATTACATGTGCACGTGTCAGGGGAAAGGGTATGTTGATTTCCATGTTTATGGCTTCCTTGCATTGATTTCCTTGTGCTTGGTTTGTTGCTGTCTTCTGCGTGTTCTAGGATTGCACCAATCCTCGTTACCTGGCTGCAGGTTCATCCAATGCTGTCAAACTGAGCAGGTTTTTTGATAAGGTAAGTCAAGTCGATTAAATCATGTTTATTGTTCTATGTGTTGAACGCCGTCTGTGATTTGAATGTGGAACAACAGTTAGGTGCTCCTTTCACATCCCATTTTTTTGGGGTTGGTTCAAGCCAGGTGTGGGGAGGCCAAAGATTAGTCTGCTTTTGGAAACCTCCAGAAAATAGCTGATCTGCTTGAAGGTTTGACTCTGGATGTGGATAGAGCAATGAACTCACAAATGTGCAAAGACACTGCATGTGCTTTTGTAATCCTTTGGCAGGCCAGAGGGTTTGCAGTGTGCTAAAGGTAGCAATGTGGGAAGTACAAGACTCTGTTGCTCCTAGTTAAAGCAAACTTTAGGAATTAAGAAATTTGGTGTATTCCTCTGCTCTCCTGCACAAGAGAGCGTCAAGGCCTATTGTGAAAATGACAGAAGGAATGCTCTGGTTTAAGCATCCCATGGACAAAGAGATCATAGTGGAGCGGAAAACCTCCTGTAACAAATCATGCTTTAGAGGAAATTTAGCCTGAATTTTTTTTTGGAGGAGGGTGTAGGTTGTACAGGGTGACGCAAACCACTTTTTGATTCTTAGGTCACTGGTAATCCCTCCATAGGTATCAATTAGCCCAATTTGTGCATCATTCTCAGAGAGTGAGTCAGGCTACCTCTTCTCAAGCATCACCTATGTTCAGGGACTACTCGGAACTGCTGGAGTTGTTATCCACCTGCAGAACAAGCTTTTGCTTGTGCTCAGAACTGCTGCACCTGCCGAGGGGGGTGGGAATATCTCAGTGAGGAGATACCCAACCATCACCTCCGTTACTAAGGAGGGCTAATGAAATTAGATGTTTAGAAGTTAAGGACAACACAGCTTTACTAAGAATGGCTGGAGGTGGCAACTCTTAGAGCAATAGGCCTGGAGCAGGGAATGTGGGTTCAGACCTTATCCCGGTTAGCCGTGGGTTTCAGTGCTTACCTGTGAAGTCTTGATTGGAATCTGAGGTTATGCATAAGCTGTGCCAGCTAAGATCATTGTCTGTTTTTCCTAGGTCATAGAGAAGAGATACTTCTTAAGAGACGGCAATCAGGTTTGTCGTTTTTCTTCCCTTTTTGTTTTGTTTCTCCCTGTGTAATGTGAACTGCTGATAGAATTCTTTATAAAACATGGGCTTCATGTGACTTAAATGATGATCTATGCTAGTAATTGAGTTTTTAAATCTGTGGGAACACAGCTGTTTTGAATAGCCAGAAAAATGGCTGACTTGTCAGCTGAAGTATTTGTCTGTAATGATTTGCAGTGAAATAATGAAGTGTGCTAACACAGTAGAAGTTGCAAGAGTGAGGTAAAATGGGCAAATATGATCTCTTTCAGATCTGTCAGCTTCAGGCTGCTTGATTGCAGATTTAGGTTACAGGTGCTGTCCTGAAGGTCAAAAAAAGGGCTTTTTTTTTTGCACAGCTGGGAACTAGCATTTTATGTTTTGTACAGGTAGTTTTCATAAAACCAGTGGAGCCACAAGGAAAATGGCGGTATGATGCCAGCTTGTAATTCATTCCTAAATGGTTGAATTAACTGTTTTCAGTACAGTTGGTGAAGATGTAGAAAAATTACTCTCCTGGTTTGGGCAGGCTCCTTCAGCTTTTTGTGCCCCCCACCATCCCATGCACAGTCTGCCATGCGGGAAGTAGCGAGGTTCCACTTACCCTGTCTGTGAGGTGCTTGCAAATGACTGTGAATAGCACTCCCAAAATGGGATCGAATGGCTCACTAGATGTAGCTGTGCTGAAAGCCCCTTAGAGAGAGTGGGGAAAAAAAAAATAGTCACGAATTACAGAATGCTTACTTTCTCTGAGCATTTTTTAATGTCTCTTAAAAATAAATTTGCTTTTTCCTGTTTCAGTTCTGCATGATGCCTTTTTTCCTCCCCTTTCCCTCCTTCCCACATTCTAGTGAAAGGAAGTCTCCCTTTCATGGGGATAATAGCTTAATGCAGAAACCTGCTTGTGTGCTGGTTGTCTTTGATGCATGATGCAAGATTGTTATTTTTCTTATTTCATCATTTTTAGTGGCTAGCCAGGGATTAACTTTATATTCCTTATGGCCGTGTGCCAAAGATTACAGCTTTCTGAGGATACTTTCATCTGCCTCACTGAGACCAGCTCAAAAGCTTAAAACAAATCTTAAGTAGTGGACAGTCATATTTAAAGAGACAAAATCCAAACTGAAACTGGAGATTTCATTATAACCTCTTAATGTTACTATTTGAAATTATCTCCTTATTGTAAATCTTACAAATGTATTTGTGGGTTCTCTACAATAGGTCTCTTCGATCATTCGTGTTTTGAGGTATTTCTATTATAGACTTCTTCAGGATGAAAAGAATGATAAGTTTCAAATTGTTTGTAGCTATGACTGATCAGATCTCTGATAAATAAATAATTGTTACTCTTAATTAGCGACTTTGTTATAAAAAATGCTAAAGCAGATAACTTTTTAGTTATAATGATTACATTTTTCCTTTCTGAATTCCCAAAGCAGTTTTGATGTGATGAACCTTTGTGCAAAATCTGCCTGATTTTTCCCTTAGAGATGAACAAAAAAAATCCTGAATGAATACCTTGTGTATCTGTTCAAGTTTTCAGCCTGAAAACCCTAACTAAATTTAAATTGGCGAGGGAGGGGGTTGGTGGACTTTTATTTTGGGTAAGCTCTCTAGCTTTCTCAGTTTATCAATGAAGTGTGCAACCTAAGCAATCTACTTCGTGTTGTAAATTACATTTTCTTCCCATACTATCCATACATGCCCCTGTTCTCCTGGTATGTTTTATAGTGCTTGGTTGGCACCTTCCATTTTAATATATTGTATTTCCTGTGAGAGTGTGGAATTGTTTTGGGAGGATGTGTTTATTATTTCTGCTTGTATGTTGTTAGATATTTAGAAGTTATTCTGGGCTGTCATTAAATAGTTTTATCATGCTGCCAATAGGACAGACATCTTACACTTGATAGAAAGCAGGGCATCTCTTTCTTTTGTGGGATTCATAAGTGCATTGGATTGCAAATCTGTTTGAAATACCTTTAAGCCAGAGAAGCTTCTGATGGTTTCAAGTAGATTTTCTTTGTAAGCACTCATTGTCACGGTGTAAGAAGTTTTCTACAGATTGGCTGCAAAAGCAGGACTGCTAATCCTTTGCATTGTTGTGGCTGTGGTTATTCAGATGATTTCCTTAAAGCTTTCAACAATTGATAAAACTGTACTTTCAGCTACCAGTAAAGTGCTGCTGTCTCAGGTTAGAAATCTCAACATCTAACATTTATTTAATAGAACTTGGTAATACTATTTTATAGTTTTAAAAAGGAACGGAGGAGAAATTTTTGTATACATTTGAATCTGAATTTGAAAGACAGACTTTGAAATCTGTAATTTACTGGTGTAGGATTTGCCCAAGAAATTAATGCTTTCCTTGTAACCCTTGCCCAAAAAGCATTAAGGAGCTCCATAGGACAAATGAGCCATACTCAAGTATTGCATCTTGTTTAATTGATGGTGCTCCTCTAGCAGTAGGCTGAACCATTTTAGTCCTGATTCTGGAAACACCGTGGAAGAGGAAGGCATTGTTGCAGTTGGCTTGGTAACAGGCACTCACGTGTGGGCTAGAGGGAGCTCATGCTGATTCTGACATGACGACTTATCTTTTCTGTCTCTAGATTCCTGGCTTCTCTGAAAGGAAAAGGTTTGGAGGGGGAACGCTGAAGAGCCTTCATTATGATTGAATACTGAAGAAGTGGAAGGTGACTTCTCCAAATTCCTAACGACATTCCCATCCCGACTGGATACTTAAAAGACAATAATGCTTATGTCAAGCAGAGTTAAATTATATTATGCTTTGGCCAGGTAGACTGCTGAAGCTACTTTCACTGGAAAAGACTTGGGGAAGAATTTCCAAAAATCTAATTTGAAGCCTACAGTGTTTCTTAGGATTGCAGACCATCTGGATATATGGGAACATTTGGGGAAAGTGTGCAATAAATTGAATGCCTCTCACACTGCTGTGGGAAACTTTATCATACGCAGTATGTATACATGACATCTTTGTTTCCATTTTGGAAAACTTATGGACAGTCTTTGTAATGAATTACATTCATCTTACCTCTAAAGGAAAGATGACACTGTGTGGGCTGCTTATTTACAGTAAAGTGAACAAAACAAGTGAGCAAAATGTAAGAACGGACAAGGAATGGTCTGGAAAATAATAGAATACCTTCATTAAATGAAGGGTGTTGTCTCACCTAGAAGACACTGTTCAGCCCTATTCAAAAGGGATAAAAGAAATAGGCAAGAGATGAAAAAAGATTTGGAGCCTTAAAAAGACAATCATGAGTAAAAAAACATGCTATTAATTCTGCTGCTTAAGTTAAAATTGTTTACTTTGGAGAGGACAAAGTGAATCGGGTACTCGTGTTTATCTTTTCTTAGCTGAGTGTGGTCTTGTTCTTAAATCAAAAGGCAGTGCATTGAAAGCTGATGGGAAAAGTATGTTTTTATACAGTGCTTATTTGGAACAAATGTGACATGGTCTTACTGAGCCTCAGGGCTTAGCGGATTCACAAAACGTGAAATGCAAGAACATCCTCTGAATTAGAATGGATGACATTTAGAAGGGATGTAAAGCCCTGTAAAAAGTGGGAACTGAGCATGATTAGAAGGAAAGTTCTGTGATAGGGATGTTTCCTTTTCTTATTTAGTACTAAGGATAAAGGAGACTTGACCAGATCTGAACTACTGTGCAAGCTGTTGTCTTCCTAAATAGCCGAAGCTTTGCAACGTTTCTCACCTTCCCAGAATTATATGGAGTGGTAAAAGCGTGATTTATGGCAGGTTCTTCTTTCCCCTCCTTCCTCACAGTCAGCCTCTAATAGTTAAGCCTCTGGCAAAGGCTAACTAAGAGCTGAAGTTAGATATAAATACAGATTAATAATAAATGGAGATAGAAGAAAGTAAAATGTAAAATGCTGGTGTGAAACTGACAGCGAGCAGAGTTCTGCAGTCTCCAGATTACCTCTGCCTGCAGCTTTTCTCTAGCAGATGCCTGGAAATAAATGGAAAACTGCCAATTGCCACTAATCAGGCACAAAAATGACAGCTAGGTGCACTAGTCAAACTTATTAAAAATATGGATACTTTGCTTTTCCTTAGGCCGTTTCCAGAAAGGTCTTGGAGCGTTTGCAAACATGACTGCAGTAACTGTTTAGATGCCTGTATGAAATACGTTATTATTTTACATTTACTTTACACCAGGGAAAATAAGGCACTGAAATATTGATAGCAGATAACCCATGTCTGAGCTATGCAGCTCCATGGCAGCACCGATGTCTCTTTCTGCTCCTTTGTCAATCAAAAGCTGGAGTTATTTTTTGAAGGTCAGGTGCTGCCTTAGGGTAACTAGAGCTACGCTCCCTCGGGTTACCAAGGAGCTGCAGAGCAGAACGAGAAAGCTAGGCTTACTTCTTCCATCACCCTATGGCTTTAGGTGAATTGGAAGTGTTGTGGAGTAAGGGAGGCATTTGCTACAAGAGGCTGTGTGTAGCAACGGTTGCACAGATCTTTGATTCGGAGCAAACAACTCTCCAAAGTAGCCCCGTTAATTAATGATAAAAGGAACATTGCTCAGCATGCTGTAGGGTGGCCTAAGCCCTAGGTGCAGCTTACATGTATTTGTGCGTTTTGCTCCTGAGGCTCCTCAAAGAAACTAGGTCTTCATATGGGAAATCTTGTGAAGGTCAGTTCATGCTCCAGGAGGAGGAGAGAATGCACAGGTCCTGTGCATCAGTGGGACTGAAGGTTATGACAGGGTTCAGGAGCAAATTAGAAAGAGATACTGTTAGGATAGGAGGGAGAGAAGATAAAAGGAATAGTATCAAGGAAAAGTAGAGCACATGGGCAAGCGGTAGAAGGTTAGCAGATTGAGAGAGAAGTTTGCTTGAGGGTCCTGCTCTAGGCTCAGCTGAGTCTCCCTGGGCTCACTCATCCAGCTGTGAGCCATAAAACTCCTCCCAGGATATCTCCGTCCACTCTTGGAATGACCTGCTGTCCCCTGTGCAAAGTGAAGAATCCTTCCTCGGAGGCATGGTTCTGATGTATCTGTTTATCAAATTGTAGTGCTTTCAGTACATTGGGAATTAAAGAGTTTACCCTTTTTAATTTCAGTCTGGATGTTTAACTTGAAAATGAGTACAAGGGATGTTCCAAGCTGTTTGTGTTGTCACAATATTTATTTTGGTATCACCAGCCTTAACTCTGTCCTACATAAATAAATCATTTAACTTTGTTAGTTTCAATGTACTGAAATCCTTTAGGTAGCTGTGATTTGGTTATAATGCAAAAGGGTGAAGGCTAATTTTGGGTGCTGTTCTCCAACTGCAGCCCTGAAAAATGGTTGCGGACCCATCTGACCAGGATTATGATCTTGGGGTCCCAGATTTGAATAGATTGCTATGAAAAACACTTGTGTGTTTTTTTCTATGTTTTTTTTTTTTTACCTAGTATTCTTCTAGTATTTCACCAGGGTTGAGTTAAGGATATTAACACATTCAAGTTATGTTTCAATATAATCCTGAAATTTCATGGATTTTTTTATGCTTGGGGTTTGGAATATTGCACTGTCCCTGTGTTGTAGTTTTCACATTTACATGACTGGCACACACTGTAGCTCTCTTGAAATAGGGCCATACAATTTTTGTTTGGAGTGGTAGCTTCTGTTTTCCTAAATGTTATGCAGAGGCAGAATGGACTGATAATTATAAATAAGAGAAATCATGAGAATTGGCCAAAAGCTGTTGCAGGCACCATTAACCTGCTGGCTAGGTGTGGTGTGGGATTAGGTACATCTGTATTTTAATAGGAGGTAGTGGCACCATATGCAAGTGCCACCAGTTTAGCACCGTACCTTGGTTGTAGCCTTATGGTTGCTGTGTATAGAGCAAGAATATCTCACACCTGCTGGGTGTATTTCAAATGTTCAGGATCCAGCAGGCAATGTGGAATGGCCACCCCGGTTTTTCTTTTCATAGACTTTACCCTTACTGCCCAGTCCCTTCTGTGCTTCTGCTTTACTTCTATCTTAAAATGTCTGGACATCGGTGTGAAGTTGCTATTAAAAAGGAGCTCTGTTGATCTTTTTCACAAATATTCATTGTCTAGCCAAACCCTTTTTGTTTTCTGGATCACAGGTTTGAGCGTAGTGGTCATCTTAGACCTGTGTTAGGTGTTGGATTCATGACACTACATTTAGCTCTTCTAATACAAATATGTCTCCAGTACAGATTAATTATCTTATTTGTTTAGGCCTCAGCAGGTAACCACAGTTAGTTATAATTTTTCCTTTTAGGACAAGGTGATGTATAATTGAGTCATGTATGTTGATGATGTTACATTTATTTTTAAAGGAAGTGCTATCTTCTTGTCAGAACCAGGACTACGTGAGCAGCTGGAGTCAGTTGCGTTGCTGTTTGCATCTCACCTCTTTGCACTGTCCAGAGAAGGTTCACCTCCAGTTTTGGGTTTGTGGCACTGGGCACTTTCTCTCTGCCACACTTCACTCCTCCATCTGTGTGTTTCACCTCTTCCTTCTCTGCTCCCTCCCACTTTCTCAAGCCCTCTCTGACCCTTCTGTCTGTCTTGCCTTCTGCCTGGCTTACCTCTGTTCACCCATGCCCCTACTCCCCCATGCCTCTAGATCCCTTTCTCCCGATTTCTATCCCCCTTTCTCTCCATGTCTCCCACCTGCCTGACCCCTTCATGTCATACGTGTCACAGAGACCCCTGTCTTTATGCTCCCCCCTGCTCTGCCCTCTGGTTCCCCTTTTCTTCCCCTGTTTTTCTCTCCACTTCTCTCCCCCGTGCTTTGTCTCTCTTGCTGGTCTCTCTCACTGTTCCTCTATTCACCTCTCTCTGTGTATCTCTGTTTTCCTACATCTCTCCTTCTCGCTGTCTCTCCGGTGTCTGTCACAGGCACAGACATTTCACATCAAAGCAGTTCTACCCTTTACATCAGAGCCACTCAGTCTCTCTGTGTCATTTCCCAGGCAGAAATATCTCCCCAGATGGTGTGTACCAGGGGGGTCGGTGAAGATGGCTCATGTAGGCACATTTGAGCTGTGTTAGACTTCCCGTGTGCACACAGGTGAAATGTACAGCAAATAAACAACAAGCCTTCCCTCTTCCCAAAGGGCTCGGCAGAGCTTTCTGGTTGATTTATGACCGGTTTGATGACTGGGGGGATAGTCAGAACCATGAATATGTGCCAAATAGGGAAAATGCCCCATATCTGCCCCTCTTGATTTCCATGCAGAAAAGTAGGAAACCCATGTGTAACTTTAAATTCTCAAGTATATGTTTTTTTTTGTTCTTGTAGCAACAGGATTGCCTGCTCCTTTTGGCATTCTTTAGCAAAGGTGCCACTGGCTTTAAGCATGTGAAACCTATCTAGTAGTAGGGTTTGGGTGCAACCTTAATACACATTTCATTATTGAGAATAATATTTGCAGAGGCAGCTGCAATGTGCTCCATTTGTCACAAATGAGATATGAACTGCTGTGCAGTCAATAGATTTTTTTTGGTGAGTCGGCACTTGAATCCCTGTTTGTGAGTTGATAAGGAGGTGACAGACTTTACTGATGGAAAACCTGCTTCTGCTTTTCAGCAAAGGGAGCTTAATCCTTCTATTTCTTTTGCTAGCCATTAGAAGTCATGTTCCTGTCTCACTTCCCTTACAAGGACGCCAGTTACTTTGATTCCTTTATAGGGTTGAGCATGTCTGTGGCTTAGTGCACCAGTTTTCTTTGACAAAAAGCCATTATCATTATTGATGAACCCGTCACTGGCTGGCAAGGTACCAGAAAGCGCTCGGAGGTAAAGCTTTCCTTAGGGCGTGCTTTGCTGCAGTGCTGTGCAGCAGGGTCCTCACCCAGACACTGGTTTTGGAGAAAACATCAGGCAGGTGTCAGGTGGAAGAGGGAGAGGAGAACAAAACCTGAAGCATTAGTATTGTCCACTTGCACTATTGTGGAGGAGAACAAGCATTAGTATTGTCCACTTGCACTATTGTGGATTTCTTCAAACATCTGATCAGCAAATGGGGAAATTATGTTTCTTTATGGTCCATGGGAACCCAATGAAGAAGTTGAGTCTTCATCACGGACCAGGGATATATAAGCAGCATAAGGACTTTCCAGTTGTGCAGGCAAAGCTGCAGTAAACCATGATGCTCAGAAAACAAGTCTAAAAGAAGCTTGAGATTAGAGGTAGTTCTCTGGCAGCGAGAGTGATGGTGCCTGAAACAGTTAATGGAAAAAAAAGCAAATTTGTCATTGTTTGGGGTTTGTCAGGGTAGAATTAGTAGTGAAGATGTGCTTTAACGCAGCTTTGAGGAAAAATACCCTGGTATGTTTGTATGGAAGTTGGTTTAGATGATCAGAGCTATCCGTGGCAGCAAAAGAGCCGGTGAAATCTAGCTTGGGCAGTTTGGTGCTCAGCCAACCCCTGCTGCAAGTACAGAAATGTGTTTTATTTGTCCCAGTTTGCCATTATATCACTGAGACACAGCTTGTTGTGCCCCGTGGGTTTATCGATGCACAGAAACTCTGTTTCCGTACCTACTGACACTGCACAGGATAATTCCTGCTCAGCATAACCACAGTGGACTTCTCTCATAAAGATGTCAAATACGAGACAAACTCATAAATGGAAAGCACACGCTCTTCCTTGACTAGATCAACCAAATGAAAGTCCGGGCTTAGTGGGCAATCCAAGTTCAGTCATTTCTTTCGACTAGGAGAAGGAGCATGAAGTGAAATAGCATGTGATTAACCCATGCACAGCTACGTTCCCTTTGACCTGAAAGTTAACATTTTACAAATTGGAAAAGAACTGCTGGCTTTGGGTTAAAGATTTATTAAAGGACAAGGAGGCCCAGTAGCTTTGATGACTAGGACTACGTCCAGAGTTTTTATCTTGCTGTCTCTGACCATCCTCTCTTTCTGAGGCTTTTTCTGCTGTGGCTTAAGTGGATGTAATGGGCTGTCCTACCCCTGATGAATGAAAGGTCAGATCACAAGATTCTGCCCCAAATTAGCACCCTCCTTAGCTGCTGCACCACAGCGGGGATGGACAGAACAGGGTAAGGTGACTAAATGTTCTTCAGGCTCCTAGAAGTGGTTCTTTTAGCCTGAGGGCAGAAACATCACAGCAAGGTGAGCAGGTGGCTTCTCCAGCCTCTATTCATCCGGCATCTGCTTTTTGGCAAAAGAAGTGTGTGCTTTCCACTGGAGACAACTTCTATGACCTTTCCTGCACAAATAAATGATAATAATTAACCTGTCTGGCATCTGCTGCTGAATGGTCCCAGAAAAATGACAAGGACGTATTTCATAAGAGCCACTCTACAAAAAAGTACGTCATTTAAAAGAGCCTTTTCTGCCGCAAAGCTGTTGGCAGTGATAAAAAGGTATAAATATTATTGCTTCATTTTTTAATACTATGATGAAAGGTTCAAAAAAGAGATTAAACCCCCTGGTACTAAGTAGCACACTGGCAGATAAACAAAGACAGCTGCTGTAGAGAGCTCCTGTCCCATTTGGCAGCATGTAAAGGGTTAACAAGCAGAGAAGAAATGCAGGTTGGGAAAGCTGCTATGTAGTCAATGAATGCATTTTAGCTGGATGAAGACAGGCAGGAGAAGAGATCGGTCCGTTTAGAAAGAAGATACATCACTGTGGAAGGCAGTTGGCCAGTGCAACAGCAGGTCCATGGCCACATCAGAAAGTATCTGTCTCTTTCAGATGCCTCTTACATGCGTTGTGCACGTATGCTGAACCTGGCAGTTTTACCCGAGTAAAATTCCCAGATGTTTCATATCATTCATCCCAGGGTGACATCTGTTGTGGTTCTTACTATTCTGTGACATCCAGTTGAAGATGTCACACTGACGTTCTGGCAGGGCTTGTTGCCTTCACCAGTGACAAAACCTGTCAGGGCTGCGCTGCGTCCATGTGTGGCCAGCTCCTTCTATTCATGCTGGTCCCCTTTTCTGAGCCTTGTGAACACATTCAGACCAACACACACGGGACAGAAGAGCTTTACTTTGGGGACCGGGCAACCAGTTGCTACAAGAAATGATGGTGAGCCATGGTGCAGTAATTGCAGTCATCACGGCAGCCTTGCAGGCTACTGTCCATGCTGGGAAGCCCTGAGCAGAAACTTAGGAAGGTGTAGGCCCAGCTCTGGAAGGCATATACCTTAATAAACAAGGATAAAGGGAAAGGGAAGAATATACAGCCTCACCTCTGTCACACGGCATGAAATACGTATTGTGTAGGAAAATGCTCACTGAGAGCATAGGGAAGCAAAGGGATTACTGACCCTTGTCTCTCCCTCCCTTTTCTCCCAGGTCATTCACCCATGCAATGGCCACCACCTGAACCCCTAAATGATTTGGCAGGAAATGAAAGGCCTTTTGATGCACATGCTGTGAAGTTGAGTTATATGAGTTCCCTTTGCCTATTAGATCAAATACAAGCTGCCTCATCTTCTATTTAAAAGGCTTTTCCAATTCTTATCGTTCATTCACCACTGAGATGTTGAACATCAGATGCCATTTTCAAGCTGTTAAATGTTCAGCAGCCCCCGTGGTACTTTCCCTTACTCTGTCTCTCTGACTTAGATGAGCCCCTTGCATATCTCTATCATGATGCCTGTGAGAACAGCTCACATCCAGTAAGCTGCTGGAACCACAGAGGTGTACGTACATCATGTGATAGCCAGCACTGCTGCATTGATGTATTTCTCCTGGTTCTCATCATGTATTTCAGCTGAAATCTCTTTGGGGTAAAGACCACCTGAAGCCACTCACTGGGCAGGTGTCACAAAACCAGAAAGATAGCTGAGAGGACACTGAACACTTTTAATGCTCATTCTTCCACGCTTAATTCATTGTGTTTATGAATCATGTTTATGTGATAGCAATTCATTGTGTTTCTGAATCATATTTATGTGATTACAAAGACAGTTGGTAAAATATTAATGAAGTACATCTATACTTAATGTTTTATAACATCTATATTTAAGAGCTGCTGCAACTAACTAAAGGGATTGTTTAAGCTAAATCGCAGAGTCAC